AATTATCAGTAGAATATTGAATGATTACAAGTTATTCTGGGTTAATATACATATCAAGGTTGAATTAAGTAATTTGTGAACTTGGTGATTTCCATGATATGACTTCAGTAGCTTTACATTTATTTTATTTATGAAATCATGAATCAATCAATGTTAGACCACCATCAGAAATCCAGAAGTATTGGTCGACCGTTTCGTCCTGGTATGAGACTCATCAACAGTGTGCAGTCACAACTCCTGCTACTCACAGGATTCGAACTATGGACCTTTAGTCTTGACAGCGAACGCTTAATCTCTGGACCGTTGAGCTGGCACTAAAAGGTGTTAATGTATAACTCTGATGAATCTATGAATTTTGAATTACATCACCCACTGTCTTCGGTAAGCACAGATACACACCCAAACAAGACTGAACTTCAGTGGTCACGAATTCTTACTAGTATTTGGTGAAACTCCCTCAAGGAGCTAATCACTACTGAGTACATGATAATTCTTGGTATAGGGTTATGGATGCGCACTGCTGTTGAGTCCCGTACGATCTTGCAGTGCTTCCAGGTTTCTAATGGCCGTCTAACATTGATCGATTCGTTATTTCCAAGTAACTCAACAATCTCCACAACCGAATAATGCATATATTTTAATCATAGTAGATTCAAGGTCACAAGTTGCGGATGATCATTCTTACACTAACCTAGTAGTAATCAGTGGTATGTATAAGCTGTTACTACACTGGCAGATTTTCCCTATTGAACAAGTTATAATTCGACAACTACGTTAGGTGGATTGAGATCACGATGTGTTTTGGTTTAAAATCAAATGACTAAAATCTGCCAGTGAAAATTCTTTATTTACGTTCTTTGTAAACTAACACCTGACAACAAGGGGCATCGCTTAACTTATTCAGACTGACAATATTTATGGTATTTGACCGGGCATCACCTAGTCTCGTTGTCACAGACTTTATCAATGAGATGTTTATATAGTCATTAGCCTCCTGTAAGACTTCGATGTTTACATTAGTTACTTATGATCGATCTTTGATTGATTTAAAAGAAACAATCTATAAATGATCTTCATTGTATCAAATAAGATTTTTTTTCAAGCAATAAACAATACACTTTGTTGAAACTTTTGTTGTGTGAAGCTCAGTGCTGTTGCTTAACTTAGTCAGCAAACAAAACCAATTTAATATTATTTTACTGTAAACGATTTTATGTTATTCATAAAACCATTAGTAAGCTCTTTTTATGTTGATTTATAAGGATTTGTAACTGTATGCTGCACTTTGTCAATTGTGTAAATACTTATTTAAGATACTGTTTAAACAAGATTTAATAATAACAACCACACTTGTTAGTAATCATTATTATTTTTGAATTACATGAAATATGATGAAAATTAGTCACTGTTTACTAAAATATGCTTTTGAAGATTATTTCACTTTTTAAGGTATTATTCATCAAGAAATAATATCAGTTGAAAAATGTAGGAGAAACTTGGGAGCATATGACCAGTGTATTGACAAGGATTCGCAGGAAACTGTGACCTGTGAAGTTACTCAAGTTTATGATAGTAAATCTATAGTTTGTCACCAATATCGATTGGAACTTTGTACATAAACGCAAAATAATTGAAATTAGAAATGTGTTGACGTTTATAGTTTCTGATTTTAGTAGCTGACTGATATTATATTCTTTCCGAGATTCAATGATAACTGGGTTTGATACAAAGTGAGATCATATGTGTATTCATTTACTGAAATGAAACAACCGTTTATTGCTTTCTATTATTCAACGAATCTACTCAATCACTGTCGCATATTTTAAAAGCCAATGTTTATGTCGCCCAATCAAAAAAAACATAATTCTGACTCAATGAATAGAGATCAGAATTTCTATGTTTCATATAATTCACTTAAATCATTTTGCACTATGGGGTTGTGAAGATTGTTAAGTTACGCATTTTTGAAACCATGAGTCGATCAATATTAGACCACCATTAGAAACCTGGAAGCACTGAAAGACGGCCGTTTCGTCCTGGTATGGGACTCCTCATCAGTGCGCATCCTGGGTTCGAATCCTGCGGAGTGCAGGAGTCGTGGATGCACATTGACACTGATGAGTCCCATACAAGGACGAAACGACCGTCCAGTGCTTCCAGGTTTCTAATGATGGTTTAAATCATTTTGTCACATGAAACGATACCGATCTAAAATCCTGGCCTTTTTTTAAATATTTTGTTTCCCACAACTAACTTCAATCATCTCTCTAATTAATGAATTCATAATTTTCATTTATATTTATCTAATGTATAATTAAAAATTTAACATAAACAGGAAGTTGTTATCTGTAAATAATAATAGACTAAAGTATTTATCATTATGATTATGATTATTACTGATAAATTTAATATAAAATGAAATCTACCCACTGTGTTGCAGTTTTTCAATGTTAATATACATGTAAAATATATCTGTGTATAACTAAAATCTCTCAACAACGTCATCGGTGAAATCTTGATGTAAATTTAGAACTGGTCTCTGGATCAGTCAAAATTAGTCAGAAATGGGACTGTTAAGTTATTCAAGAATGAGTTTTGGAGTTATTTAGACTAGTTAGCGCATTACTACTTCATAGATATGATTCAGTGAACACTAGAGGACTTGACCAACATGACACTAACCATTACTTAGTAATCAGTCAGTTGTAAACTGTTGATAAACTCACAATAGGAATGTGTATCTTCTCACAACTTCCCAAATTTGTATTCCTGTACTAATTGATGTTCCCTTAGGTTGAAAACCATCAGTCGAAAATGAAAACTATTTAGACAGATGTAAATAACACTATGCGTTCAGTTTGATTAAGAATAATTTTGTGTTTCCCAAGTTTCAATGTCTAAATTTTACTGATCTTTCTTATGTTAGAAAATGATTCGTTTGAAGCTGATATCAACTGTAGAATCATTGTGAAATCGAAAAAAATACCTATTATTGGCTCCTGGACAGTGTCTTAAATACAAAAGTTCTCTAATTTCTATCAGCTCTTCATAAAAAAACCACTTATGATTGTCAAAATAAGGTTTGTGTATTCCTTTCAACTATCTTGTTATTTGCGATAACTTAAAAAGGGAAAAAGCTCTTCGAAAAATTCATGAAACAACATGACTATTTACAGATAGATAACTTATTCAAAGAAATAGTAGCTTTTCTTCAGTGTATTAAGTATTTAAGTAAGTAATGTAATAACTGTAAGCTTAGTACTACATGAAAATGTTCAATGTCCTTTTGTGTTATGTGATATATCAGGCCATCGTGACTAATGTGTGAGTTTTAAGTAATTTGCATTACGGGGTTGTGAAGATTGTTAAGTTACACATTTTTGAAACCATGAATCGATCAATGTTAGACCACAATTAGAAACCTGGAAGCACTGAAAGACGGCCGTTTCGTCCTGGTATGGGACTCCTCAGCAGTGCGCATCCACGACTCCTGCACCCCGCAGGATTCGAACCCAGGACCTTCGGTATTGTGCGCGAACGCCCTAACCGATAGACCACTGAGCCGATATCTAACGGTGTTAAGTAATTGTATCAACTGTCAATGTACTACTAACATATAGAAATCTCTGACAATAAGAAAATATCTAAATCCCACACAGAGAGAGTTCATAAATTAATCATTTTCAACTAACTAACTAACTAACTAGACAAAAGTTTGAATTTGTTTTTGCTTCTTCAGGTAATTCATTGCATTACTAAATTTAGGTTATTTATCAGTAAAATCTTTTATATAAATCAGGTCACTTGTCGTATTTATTGTTTTGAATTATCACTAAAAATAGAATCATACGATATTTTTGCAGCTTTTTTTTTGGTACAATCTCAATATTGTCATCATGATTACTTAAGAATAAATAGAATTGATTGGATTGTAAAGATGCAGATACGTTAGTAGCTGATTCGCAGTGACTGGCTAAACAAATAACTCCACAAAACCTGACTGAATAATTCATCGTTGAAACTTAATTTCATGATTAAAAAGTCTATCTAACGTCTGTCTAGTACCATCTGATATCTGTTATTCTTTTGAATTAATGTGGATCTTTTGTTTGCAGCTTATCTTCTTTGAGTACTAATAAAAGCTGTGACTGATGGAAGTTCTGTAGTGAAGGAGAACATAGGTTAGGGCAACCGAATTGAATTCATATCAAATTACAGAGTTAATTAGTAAAATAGGAAAACCATATTGTGAATTGTTAATTTGCAAAATATCAATTCATCATATCGATCTGCACTGTTCCTGTTGCAAAACATCAATCCATTGTCTGACATTTCACTATTCATGTGTTTCATACAAATCCCATTGTGTTCCCGCTCTTCCTTTCTTGATCTTCCCCCAACTTCTGCTGCCAGACATTACGTTTTTACTCGCGTCATATACTACTTATAAGTAGCGCGCACCACAGTTCAACATGATTACCCACCAAAGATATTGGAAGATGATTTCCTTAATGTCACGTATTAATTAAGATTAGGCATGTTAGTCATTGAATGCTAACTAATTGGCTTAAAGGTTAAACACTCCCCTCGAGAATTGAAGATTATAAATTCCATCTCCGGTGTAGTTGTGAAAGCTTGCTGCCTAGAAGTTATGTATTAAGACGTAACAACTATTTGATGTTTTCTGGATTTTATTGATTGTAACACTAAAGTCAGTCTTTGTGAATTTCAACATTTAGTAAATCCCTTATATTGATAATATCAATTCATTAAGTTTGTTTACATACATCTAGATTTATTTTTGTTCACTTTCTTTACGGTTTATTTTATTTTACCTTATTTTTGATTTCAGCATTGAATTCATTCATTCAATCATGGGATTAACATGGCGTTTACGTTTAACATATGCAATTGGTCATGTACTAAATGATTTATGCGCATCTGTATGGTTTACGTATACTTTGGTATTTTTTAAATTTGGTATTGGTATACCAACAAGTATGGCTGGTTTAATTATACTTGTTGGCCAAGCGGTTGATGGTTTAATGACACCAATAATTGGTCTACTCTCAGATCGATATTCATCACAACCCTCTGCACCATTGTTGATACCATCATTATCTTCTTCTTCATCATCATCATCTCAATCCTTGTCAACAACATCATCACCATCATCAGTAGAAGCAGTTACGCATAATACTGTCAATCATCGTTTGCTTAATTCTAATGAATATTTAAAAAATCATCATAAAAATTACATGTCAACATATTCTTCCGATAATAATACTACTGATAGTAATAATGATAATAATAATAATAATAATTTATCGTTTCGTCAACGATTCAAATGGATTTTTAAAAAATTACAACCATATGGTCGTAAAATATGGCATCTTGTTGGTAGTATATTAATTATCTTTTCATTTCCTTTAATATTTGGTCCACCACTTGGTTCATCCAATGCAAGTACATTGGCAAAAATGATTTATTATTTACCATTAGTGGCAATTTTTCAAGTAAGTTAATTTGACGCATATTTATTATAAATGAATAATGTTTTGTTTTCACTTATTGATATGCTTGAATGTTATTACTGGTTTTGCCTTACTCGGTAAGTGGAGCGTAGAGAAATGATGCAATGATGCGATAGGCTATGCTAATCCAATTGTCCCAGGCTCCGCTAAATAAAGCAAGAAGTCTTGATAAGGCATAGCGAATGTATTGTAAAAGCACCCAGAGAATACGAGGTCGCTAAATACACAAGTCAGGCTTATTTATACAATGATAGCAACGCCCTTGGGAGAGCCACAAAATAGCATACTAAAATAATCCATCAGCCAATGATATTCAAGGATTTTCTGAGTGGGAATTGTAAGCTGAGGATCGATTAAGCGTCTTGTGCGCGAAAACATAAAAAACTTAAATTTTCAGAAATACATTACAAAATTAGGGATCTAACGTCCACAACACTCATACACTATATACACATTTAATGTACTCACGTTTGATGCATTCCTTGAAAGCTAAAAATACTATTCTGTAAGGCAAACTGAAGTAGATGAAAGGAAATTCGAATTTCCCAGTTAAATTTGAAATGGTCCAATTAATAAATCACCTTTCCACAACTGATTATTGAAGACAAATATTTCTGAATTAATGAATTACTATCAGTCTCACTGTCAGCTTTAAATTTCCCAATGTTTCTTCCATCTCCTTTAGTGGATATGTTTTTAGTTTTACATAAAATACAAAAAATATTTCGAATTAACAATTTATAAATTATTATTGAATGGATGAAACATTCAATTTTCAATAGTTATGATGTAGGTAAGAAAGGCTAGTTGGATTTAAACAACTATGTGGTAGTTTCATGAAGCTCCACATCATGTAATATGAGATTTTAAGCTAAATACCAAAATGTATCACAATCAATTAGGACTTACACTTGAAGAATTCTATTCTATTTTTGAAAAATGTAATTAGTCAAATTATTATATTGAATGGAAAGAAAAAATCGTTTCTGTATTTTTTGTATTCTAAAAAGCATTGAGTCAGTAATGTGTAAATATTTTTAAGTCATTTTCAAATTACATTATTCATTTTGTTATAAATGTAAACTAGTCGAATTCGATAGTTTCAAAAACAAATAATTATCTCCTAAATAAGTTTAAATTTATCTAGGGTGAATGCTTGAAATATTTATATTTCAGAAATGTTTATGTGACCCCAGGGAACGTTTCAGTGCTTTAATTGTATAAGTTATGAGCTATTCAAACTGTGACAAACTATCCTTCTCAATGGGAACATCAACACGTGGATGCAAGTACATCTAACTAACGAGTGTTAGATAGGAAGAAATGCTCGTCTTAGATTCCACTTCTAGCCATAAATCCGTTTAGTTTTCCCATTTTTATGTTTATGATACTAATTTTAATGAAAGGCTTAATAGCTTGATTAGTTGTACTTAGTAATGTACGTAAGCTGGTTTGGTGTCATGAGGTAAGGGTGATAATGTCCCACTACTCTTCAGTACGTGGAGATCCACAACTCTCCTTTTATTTCCAGCTTCTCTAGAATAATACTTCGTAAGAAAGAATTATTGGTCAAGACCAAACAAAACTTTTTCAAGCAATTATTCTTTGAATAGAGTAAAAGTATCAGATACCAAAATTTTCAGAGATTAACAAGTAGACAGCGTATTTTATGACCGTAAAAAATGAACAGTAACTGAAACTTGATGATAATTGGTTAGTGAGTAATTTTACTGATGAAAATTACACTCGAACATGCAACCTTTATCCACTATATCAATAAATACGTGAAATTCCTAATTACAACATAATTATTGAATATTTTAAACATTCTCGTTAGCCCATCATATACTCATAAAGTATAAATATATTTCTTTATTACTAACTTACTTACTTACGCCTGTTACCTCAAATGGAGCATAGGCCGCCCACCAGTTTTCTCCAACCAACTCTGTCCTCGACTTCCCTTTCTAGTTATTTCCAGTTTTTGTTCATTCTTCTCATGTCTTTCTCTATTTCTCGGCGTAATGTGTTAATTGGCCTTCCTCTTTCCCTTCGATCTTGAGGGTTCTATGTGAGGACTTGTCTTGTGACTCAGTTAGGTGCTTTCCGCAATGTGTGTCCTATCCACTCCCACCACTTCTTCCTGATTTCCTCCTCCACTGGAATCTGGTTTGTTCTCTCCCCACAGTTCGTTGTTGCTGATGGTGTCTGGCCAACGAATCCGAAGTATTTTGCGTAGACAGCTGTTAATAAACACTTGTAACTTCTGGATGATGGCTTTCGTAGTTCTCCAAGTTTCCGCTCCATACAGTAGAACTGTCTTGACATTTGTACTGAAAATCCTGATTTTGGTTTTGGTTGAAAGTTGTTTGGAGTTCCAGATATTTTTCAATTGTAAAAGTACAGCCCTTGCTTTACTGATCCACGCCATCACATCTGCATCGGATTCACCTTGGTTGTCGATTTTTTTTTTTTTTTATGTAAAGGTGTCAAAGTCCTCCAGGGCATCTCCATCAAGAGTGATTTGGTTGACGCATGTTGTGTTGTAACGTAGAATCTTACTTGTCCCTTTATCTATGTTGAGACCTACTGCTGCAGAGGCTACTGCTACGCTCGTTGTCTTCTCTTGCATTTGTTGTTGTGTGTGAGATAGAAGAGCCAGGTCATCTGCGAAGTCCAGAGCGTCTAGCTGCGTCCTAACTGTCCAACGAATACCATGCTTTTCTCCAGATGTCGACGTCTTCATAATCCAGTCGATGACCAGGAGAAAGAGAAAGGGTGAGAGTAAGCAACCTTGCCTGACACCGGTCTTCACCTTAAGCGAGTTTGCCAGCTGACCTCCGTGTACGATTTTGCAGTTGAATCCATCATAAGAATTTCATATGAAGTTGACTACCTTCTCAGGCACACCGTAGTGTCGAAGAAGCCTCCATAGTGTTTTCCTATCCACGCTATCGAATGCTTTCTCGTAGTCAATGAAGTTAATGTACAGTGGTGAGTTCCATTCAATTGATTGTCCCACAATAATCCGTAAAGTATAAATAACTATTATTAAACATCAGTGTTTGGTTATCAAAAAAAACCCACTAAGAATTAATCACTGCATTATGTTGTTTTTTTTTATCTAGACTGGGTGGGCTGCAGTTCAAATTACCCATTTAGCAATGATCAATGAATTAACTATGGAATCAAGTGAACGTACTTTCTTAACTTCATTACGTTATTTATTCACTGTTCTTAGTAATTTACTTGTTTATATTAGTACATTTTTCCTATTACAACATCAACACTCTGATAATAATAATACTCATAATGATACTATTCATAACAATTCAATGAATGGTATGTTATCATTGGAAAATATGTATAATTACAATGAAATTCAATATTTTATGTTACCTATGGTAATGACTTCACATCCATTGTCAAAATGTTCAAATCAATCATTAGCTTCACCGTCGGTTATTGATTTTGGTAAAGATGATATACCGGCATTTCAAAAATTAGGTTTTACAATTATTTCTGTTGGTGGATTAACAATGTTATTATTTCATTTTGGAGTAAGAAAATTAGATTTGAATCATAATCTACGTACTATAACTGCTGGTAAGCGGTAATGATTTATTGACAATATATATGTATAATGATATAATTTTCCTGAGTAATTTAGATAGAATACTGAAGAAAGAATAAGCTAAGGTGGTTGGTGGCTAGTAGTGAACTGGGTTCGAGTCCGGGAGTGAACATCAACTTTGGAATGAAAGCATCTCCATCTGATTCTTCCCAGATAGGACCAAACACACGTTCTAGATTATACTTCCTAAATAAACAAAAGTGCTTGTGACTTTACAGCTATACCGAGGCAATGCTCTTTCGGTGCACATATACCAATAACAACAGAACAGCTAGAGTCTTCAGTGGCTGTGTTGAATTTCTTCGTTTATAAACGCTTGAGTACGCTATGAAATAAACTCCATTTCAGTTTCTGTATATCATACTTTGGCGAACCCCGTTTGTGCGACGGTGTTAGTTAGAAGCCAAATACTGATTCTGTTAGATGAGTTTATTTCATTCAATCGTTCAAGCAAACAAATAGAAGAATACATGAATGCAAAGCGAAGCTAAGTGGAGAAGGCCGGTGAGCCAACTCTCTGTGATGAAACATGACTAAGCATTTATAGTCAAACAAAAGGAAGTCAGACAGGCAATAAGCAAACTAAGTAGTGCAAACACATACTCGAATAGAAATAACCTAGAAAAAAGCGAATAGCTAACTTGGTCAAAAGACGAGAGAATAGTAACTCGGGTAGAATGGATTGATTAGTTTTTCCGAAGGCTTTGTACAAGCCCTGTGAGCTCAACATAAAAGAACACGCACTACAATTCGTAAATATCAATGGAAAGATTCGAACAGCCAATTTACATGAAATAAAAGGATTATAGTTGCCATTTCTATAGTTTAACACAAATCACTTTTATCGTGAAGTTTGAATGTTACGCAATATACACTTCCAACTTTTTATGGGTAGATAATTTCACTTAACAGCTAATCAAGTAACAAATAGTTGGTTATTGGTGAAAATCATTTACAAAAGAAACCATTGTGACCTCAATTCTGCTCTTCTTTACGAAAACTTAATATATCATTTCCTCCTCTTAACTAAGAAACTGCTTTATCTTATAAAATATCTATTTTAAATTCATTGACGATCAAATAACCGGTTACGTCATCGTCCAAGTTACATTCAGTGTAATTTAACTGTAGACTGCTATATATTAATATTCCATTATCTCATTTGTTGATCAATGTCAAAGGTCTATGGAGATTTTATTGAGTTTTGCAATAAACTAGTAATCTGTTTCACATGACTTAACGTTTTTTCATATACTGAACTGTCATATTTTAGCATGAACATCATTGGTTACTATTCGTTGCTGATTTAAGTAACAGTAATATAGTAATGAAGTAGATGAAACATCTGAAAAACGAGAAATGACCAGTGGAATTCAACTCTGTCGAGTGGAGGCAGTAACTACCGAAGACAATCCATAGATTGATCACACCGTCGAGTGCTGGCTCGTTGATCCATAGGTTAAGCCTTCGTGTGCAAGGTCCTGGGTTCGAATCCTGTAAGTGGCAGGAGTTATGGACGCTCACTGCTGATGAGTCCCAATACCAGGACATAACGGTCGTCCACTGATTCCAAGTTTCTAATTGTGGTCACACGATTAAATCACGATTTCAATGTAAAACAACGGTCTCTATAATTCTACAATGAAAAAAAGAACATATACGTGAAAACATTTATATGATTGTATGAATTATAGACTGAGTTTGTAGATTAGTATATATTACTCAGTAATGACTAGGATTTATGCTTCTTTAATATTAGAAACTAGGATTTGGAATTGATATTTCATTGTTAGATTTTGTTAGTATCATTAAGTTACAAG